CAGTGACCAACCTTAGCACTCCTAGAAGCGGGAGAACCAGATGTTGTAGTCCTCCAAGTAGATGCACCTATGACATATTCTTGCCACCCTCCAAAAAAATTAAACTTGCATCTATTCTATTCTTTATACTTGAATTCCAAATTATTGGAAATACAGGAGATAAGAGAATAAGTTAAAGCAAGATCATGAGGAAGTAAAAGACAAATCCAGAATGTAGGATGACTGACCTAGTCTCTTCAGCAAGTCAGTAGCCTAGGAAAAGGGGAGGGAGGAAGACTGTTCCAGAAGAAAAGGATTCCAAAGACAAAATAAGCAAATACAGAATGTACATCTTGGGGCACGTGGGTGGCTCCGTCGGTTAAATGTCCGACTCTTGGTTTCAGCTCAGGTCTTCATCTCAGGGTTGTGAGGTCGAGCCCCACATCAGGCTCCGTGCTGGGCGTGGAGCCTGCTTGATTTTCTCTCTACCCCTCCCCCTCCCCAGCTCTCTCTCTAAAAAAAAAAAGTACATCTTATTTGGATCCTGATTCCAGTAAGCCAACTGAGGAGACTTGAATTCAGACTGTGAGTTAGATGATATTAAGGAATTGTTAATTTTGTTAGGCGTGGTGATGGTATTATGGTTATGTAAGAAAATGTTTTTTTTTTTTTAAGATACACAAAAGTATTTAGGGTGAAACAAAGTAATGCGAGCATTTGCTTTAGGTTACTACAGAAGAAAAAAAAAGATATATGAACTATGACAAAATGTTGACAACTCTTAAATCTGGGAGATTCATTATACTATTTTTTCTACTCATGTATATTTGAAATTTTCATAATAAAAAATAGAAAATTTTAAAAGATACCTACAAAAATTTTTATCAGGATATATTTATTCCTGTGCTAGGCTTTATCATGGTGTATTGCAATTGCCTGTTTACTTGTCTGTACCAGTATTTCTCAAATTATCAGTATTGAAAGACCAATTTTTTAATTGTCCAATTTGTCACAGACCATGATTTTTGTAAAATACAAAAAAAATCAATTACTGTAAAAGCAAAGTGAGGAAAGGACATACAAAATATAACCTTAAAAAGTTTTCTTATTAAAGTCAACAAAATTACATTTCACTTATCAGAACAAATTTAAACATAGGATAAAGCAGTTTTTTAATTGTACCGATCAAAAATACACATACAGGCAATTAGTATGGAAAATTGCTGTTACACTCAAGGTTGTTCTGTAACCATAATTAAGTTTTTTTTTTTTTTAAAGATTTTATTTATTTGATAGAGAGAGACACAGCGAGAGAGGGAACACAAGCAGGGAGAGTGGGAGAGGGAGAAGCAGGCTTCCCACCGAGCAGGGAGCCCGATGCGGGGCTCGATCCCAGGACCCTGAGATCATGACCGGAGCCGAAGGCAGACGCCCAACCGACTAAGCCACCCAGGCACCCCCATAATTAAGTTTTTCATGCGAAACATGAATATGCTTTTTGCATGTTACCTTGAGGACCTTGTGTATTAACGAGCATGGGTTGAGAACAGTGCCCCTCACAGAGGATGAGGAAGTATACCTAAACCAATGTGATTTCGGCCACAGGTTTTTACCTCAGTTACTTCTGTTACTGATTTCTCAGCAGATGGTACAGTTTTCAGGGATGCCCACACTGCAGAAAACATACAGAATGAGGAAGGGAGGAGTGAACATACCAACCTCTTGAAGCAGGCGGTCTTAATCTCTGGAACGTGGATGTTGTCATTTTTCTCACAGTGTGTTATATATTTATTGTTATGCGATTCTAGCTTTACATGGTAATTTTAGGTTCAGGCATACCATTCCTCCCGCCCACCCCCCCACAGTACCTTTCCTGCCAGGCTCCAAAGCTTTTCATCCCCCCTGGCTAGGGTGGTATTAATTTGGACTGATCGCTTCAAAAACGTCTGTACTCTAGATTCTCTTGCGCTTCCTAGGACTCATTTTGTAGGTGACAGTTTGTTGTTGTTCCTTCCCCCATATACTTATATTTGTTCACATTGGATCTGTTAGGTTTCTCTATGTTGCCAGAATCACAAAAATTTTTCCAATTAATTCACATTGATTCAGCATTTTCTTTCTTTTCTTTTCTTTTTTTATAGAGATTTTATTTATTTGTGTAGAGAGAGAGCACAAGCAGGGGTAACGGCAGGCAGAGGAGGAAGCTGGCTTCCCGCTGAGCAAAGAGCCTGATGTGGGACACTATCCCAGGGTCCTGGGACCATACATGACCTGAGCCAAAGGCAGATGCTTAACTGACTGAGCCATCCAGGTGTCCCTGACTCAGCGTTTTCAACAGAAAGAAATTTTGTCTCTCTGAAGAGTCATTTATTTGTCTATGAAAAAATTGTCTCTTTAGAGCTACAGCTTAAGTGGCATTTGGTGTGGAATTTCTGCAAAGATAACACTAGTAACTAGCCAAAAGATAATCCTGTACAGAAAACACGTTGCATTTCCCTCAGTAAGTTGTATTTGCCCACAGGGCCAACCCTTTGTTATAGATTTCCCCGTTCATCCAATATAGAAATGAGGCTCTGGTTTACTCTTATGAACAGATAGTACATAGTTTACTTGGTAGTTAACTTAGACATAGTCACTCTGATGACAGGTTGGACATTCTGACTGAAAAGTCTATATATTCTTAAATTTTTATTTTTTTTCCCCGGTAGAATTCTGAATGGCTATTATGTGTGCTCTGTAAAGGCAAAAGGAAAATGTGGGGAGCTGATCATCTCAATTTGTGATTATAGCAGATGAAGAAACATATGCAAAATGTCTGCTTACATTTTTTTTATTTGAGTATAATTTACACACAATGTTACGTTAGTTTCAAGTGTACAACTTGGTGGTTTGACAAGTTCATACATTATTCTGTGTTCTGCACAAGTGTGGCTACTGTCTGCCCCATTACATCACTATTACAGTATCGTTGATTGTATTCCTTATGCTCTGCTGTTTATTCCTGTGACTTACTCACTTCAGCCTGTAGCTCCCTCTCCCCTTCACCCATTTGGCCCAACCCCACACCCTTGTCTGCCGTCTGTTCTCTGTATTTATAGGTCTGATTTTGCCTTTTTTGTTTTGTTTTCCTATAGCTGATGTCAGAGAAATTACTGCCTGTGCTCACTTCTAGGATTTTATGTTTTAGATACATTTAGGTCTGTCTGCTTACATTTAAAGCCTCTAACATCTAATATTCTATATTTTATAATGGTTGATGATACCATCCATGACCAGACCTTAATCAGCTAAGTATTTAATAAAAACTGTGCCTCTGATGTTTTGTACATAGTACTAAAGCAGTGTGGGGAGTACTAAAGAAAATAATACGGCCCCTATCTTCAGAAAGCTTAAGTGAAGGTATCTTATTTTCTAACACACAGTGTGTTAGAATTAAGGCTGTGTGTGTGTGTGTGTGTGTACACCCAAACACATACGCACTTTGAGATATTTATGCGATATATGCAGGTAACTACAGTGTGAGCCAATGTGTTGTCAGTGATAAGGAGTTCAGAGTATAGAGATTAGTTCTACTTGAAGTGACGAGGAACTGTTTAAGGGCAAGGTGGCATTTGAGCAGGGTTTGAAAGGATAGGATTTCAGCCCGAGTCTAGTAAAGAAGCTTGATACGGTTTTTTAAAGTTTATTAACTTGAGCGTGGATTGAGAACAGTGCCCCTCCATGGTTAGAGTGAAGTAACCATTCACTTACCAGTTGTATGAATTCAGCCAGATTACGTAACCCCTCTGATCTTCAGCTTTCTCATCTATAAAATGAAAATTAGAATAATAGTTATCATAGAGGGTTTTTAGGAAGATTAAGAGGAATACAGTGATACGAACATGCTTTATAAACTGTAAACTGCTGTACAAATGTTAATTTTATAATAAATATTGAGGATATCCTGAGCCAAAGCCATGGACTCTAAATATCAGTAAACCACATAGCCTAGAGCAGAAAATTTATGGAGATGGCTGAATATTCATTCACCCATACAATTCCTAAGTTGGGAAAATAATCTTAAATTTTTGAAAAGCCTTTCAAGATTTCTGCTGACCCTTCCCCCTCAAAAGATCGTTTCAGAGGCCTTTTAGATGTTCAGGCGAAACTTGAATGAGCTATAATGTTTTGTTTTATTGAGTTCATATAAACATATGCAGAACTAATTTTCAGATAAACTGCTTTAGCAGAGATTATAACATTATACAAAGGTAGCTAATGTATGTTGCAAAGTATATTTGCTTAGAGAACATGGCTATCATGTTTGATTTAGAGAACAAGTCTTGGGTAAATCATAAGTGCTCCACCAAACAAAACAGAGTGTGAATTATTTAAGCTACTTCCAGGGACCACTGAATCTTATGTTACAGGTGGCTTCTATAATAACTGCAGGAAATGATTGCTTAAAAGAAAGACACCTTTTGTCTGATGAGATGTCAGAAAAGGGATTCATGGGGTTTTTGTTTTGTTTTTTTTTTACATAAATTTTGTTTTTTAAATATGGTTAGGAAAAATGTTCAGCAAACTTGTAAACAGAACAGAGAGAGTGCTTAGACATAAAAAAGCATTGTGAGTTATATTGTGAATATTATGCCACTTGCTGTTGTCTGGTCTTGGGCTTTCTCCATTTATCTGGACTCCAGTGAAATATGATTGGAATTACTTTTCTCAAGGCAGGGAACTTGGAAAACAGCATGTTACTTGAACACTCACTCCTGTTCATTTAAAAAGCTTTTGAATAGGTGAAGGGGATTAAAGTACACTTATCTTGATGAGCACTGAGTAATATATGGAATTGTTGAATCACTGTATTGTACACCTGAAACTAATATAGCACTGTATATAAACTACACTGGAATTACAATAAGATAAATAAAAAGATAACTTTTTGAGGAGAAAAAAATTCTACCTACTAATAGTGGGGATTTTTTGTTGGTTGGTTGGTTTTGGTGAATAATCCTAAATGCTCTCCTTTTTTACAGACTACCTTGCTAATCATGGCCGGTTAAATGAGTCTGAGGCCAGGCGCAAATTCTGGCAAATCCTGTCCGCTGTTGATTATTGTCATGGTCGGAAGATCGTGCACCGTGATCTCAAGGCTGAAAATCTCCTGCTGGATAGCAACATGAACATCAAGCTAGCAGGTAGCTGGGACGCAGCTGGCTCTAACATGACCAGACACGAGCCACTGTCCTTGGTGTGTGTGCAGGCAGAGGTTCAGGAACATTTCTACCAGTGACATCAGGCTTTCTTAAAGTGTGTTTTACTCATAGTTCTAAGTGTAATGACAAGTAAGAGAAATTGGTTTATTGCTAATGTACATGGTGGCAGGACTGGGGTCTGATTTGTGGCCAGGTCCCTTGCGCCCTGCTGGAGGAGGTCCGTTTGTCTGGGTGTGTGTGAGGTAGGGGACTGGGAGCCGGACCAGAGGAGCAGTACAGGATCACGCTGGTGCTCTGCCTGCCCTCCTGGTTATGGGTGATTGTGCAGAGAGGTCACAGCCGGAGAAAAGACAGTGATAGAAGTCTAATGCCTGGCTCTGATACAGTCAGGTTTTGAGTTATAACATGGAGGTTGAGGGTACAGAGATTATTTTGCTAGTTTTTCTCCTACAGTTTTCACAATTGTAAAAGGTTTTGTATTTTATAGTCCAAGTTTCTTTATCCATATGGTCAAGAATTCAATAAATATTTATGCATCAGGTACTGTGCCATGCTAGGTATACTGGGGATACAAATCCTCTAATTCTAAAAGTCTAGTGGGGAGATAAAAATAATTAAAATACAATATGTTGCCCAAAAATCTATGTACGAACTGCAATAAGAATCTAGGTGAAGGAATAGCGCTCTACCTGGAGGCTTCACAGAGAGGGAACTATTTGAACTTAGGCTTGAGGGATGAGTTAGAAGCTTGCCAGGAAGATAAACGGAAGTAGGATATTGCACACAGGCAAACTGTGTAAATACCACAGGTATAAGGGAAAGAGATTGAGATTGGTGTGGTGGGGAACTGTAGCTCAGTATTAGTGAAATGTGAAATCTGTAGGCACAGGGTATTGACACAGGAGGAACAGGTAGGCAAAGAGCAGAATATGAAGGGCCTTGAACACCATGAAAAAGATTTCAGAGTTTATTCTGTTGGAAATAGGGAGTGCAACCTATTGAAAATTGTAGGATGGGATGGAAGTGAAGGTGGGACTGGGCTACTATGATTAGATTTGCATGTTGGAAGGAGGTTTCTATCTGGCAGCAGGGTGAAGATGGGTAGGAGGCGTGGGTAAGACTGAAGGCAAGAAGATTAATAAGGAATCTAAGGCAGTAGTCCAGTTAAAATGTGGATCTGGGCTAGAGTAGCAGCAGCAGAGGTTGTAGGTGTGGAAGGGAGATTCATTTCAGTTAGGGTATTGAAGAAGATAAGGGGTTTGAAGCAAAAGTTTAGCAAAGTTGCAAGTGGTGGTGTTTTGTTCTAGGATTGTTAAAGAGGAACAGAGGGACATCCAGATGAGAGGAGCTGACCAAGAAATTATTTGCTGACTAGCTAGGTTGGATACTCATTGGACTCCTAAGCTTAGGGACAAAACAACAGCCTTGGTTTGCTGTATTGCGGTATAAAATAGAAGATAAAAGCATCTAATTTGTGCATGTAACTGGTTTATTTCTATGCCATTTCCCATTAGTTTTTGCCTTGGGCATTTGAGGGAAAGCAAATAATTAATTTTTACTTACTTTATTTTAACTTTTACTTTAATGTTAATAATTAATTTTAAATGCCAATGTTACATATGGTTCAGGGAGGTAATGGATTTTCCATTCTGCAGGCTGTGACTTTTTTTTCTAATGGGATTGCCTGAATAAGACAGTTTTTTAAGTTAATCTGTTTCATTCCCATTATATATATAAAGATTTGTATTGATTTGTCTTTTCTGTTTTGAAAGTGCAATCCACAGTATTGGTGTTTCCATAGTTTCTTATGTGTGTTCACTTCTCCCATTTGTGGTTTTGTTTTTTGTTTTGTTTTTTCTCTTCTTCTTTTGGCCCTTCTATTGGTCTCATTCATCTCACTCCTGTTTGCCATTCTTCAGGAGTGCACTTCCCTGGGACTTTTTTTTACTTTTTGGAAGCATCTGCTGCCCTCAAATTGTTGTCTTCAGAGAAGGCTCTTGTTTTTTGAAGTCCTTAACTCTGTAGAAAGAAAGAGGAAACCCCTGCTTCACCTTCATATTCCTTTATCACTAAAACAAAAAATTCACAAAAACATACTTCCAAGGAGTTCTGGGAGTCTTTTTAGGCAGAGAAAGGTTAGCAGTGTGAGTCATATGCTATAGAAATTACAGAGTGCTCTGTCACTAACATCTCAAAAGAAAATGTCAAAGTAGAACACCAAAGAAACTTGCAAACAAAATATACAGAATATTCCTTTAAGGTTATAACCAAGTTTTGCCTGGCTATAATACGTCTCTTATAATTTTGGCATATAATATAGGTAGATCAACTCAGTATTTCTAATGTCATTATGTGGTATTCACAGCTAGGTCTCTTTGACCTCAGGAAGCAAAGATTCTGAGTTTTCAAGCATTATTGGTAAGTTTTTCCTCAAGGGTTACTCACTAACTGAATTTTGGGTTTTATCATTCAGTATTCATCCATCGAGTCTCATTGATTCCATTACCTCACAAGTGGAGACATGCACGCGCACACACACACACGCAGTATATCTTAGCACTCAAATATCCTCTTGTCCACGTTTTTCTGTCATCCTCACCACCATTTACCCCAAATTTTAGTAAATGTTTATGAAGCATCTACTATGCTCCTAGGCTAAGTCCTGGAGATTGAAGTATTTCAAGATGAAAACGATAACAATGCAAAAAAGTTCAACTCTGCTCTCACCTGGAGGAGTTAACCCAAAACCAGAGCTTTCACTAAATATAATACAAGAAGAAAATTGTGAAGGCCATGAGGCTAGGAGAAAGACTAACTCTTCCTGGAAGAACCAGGGAAATGATTAGCTAAGACTTGATTAAGAAGGGGACAGAAGGAGAGAAAAGCAAAGGGGGTATGAGGTAGGGATGGCGGATCCAAGCAGGTTTCAGCATATGCAAAGGCAGGTAGGCCAGAGAACTCAGACTGTGTAGGGAAGCTGTGGACCAGAGCTAGTGGGATCTAAGTGCCAGTGACAAAGGATAGGGAAAGAGCCTGGACAGGTAGGCAGAGCTACGTCATGAAGAATTTCACATCAGAAGTTTATATGTGTTTCTCTGTGCTTAAAGAATTTCTCCAGAATGTTTATTTTTATCCATAGATTTTATAACTTTTTTATAGTCCTGCTTTCCTTTAAAAACATCATCTTCTGATCTCTGAGGAATCTTCTTGAATTTTAAAGAATTCCAATGCATGTAGGAAAGATGGGACTCCATGGAAAGATTGCAAGAACTCAGAATAAAAGGCAGAATTATTCCCTCAAATTATACTTTGCTTGTTCTCCTTATGAAGATCTCTTTTAATTGCTAAATGGGCTGAATAAATGAACTATTTTAGCTATCTTGTATGTTGAAATTGAAGAGAAAGTGCAAACCAAAACTAGGTGTAAATTACAATATTTTGTAATTTACAAAAAAGAAAATGGGGTAGAAGTGTAAAATGTGGTTTATTTTAATAAGTACAGAAACATGGCTTTGAAATCATTTTCTAATTTATGCTCCTCCTGTGGATAAAGACTTCAGACACTGATGAGCCATGGATCCATCCATACCCATGTGTGTTCATTGCCTCAATTATGACACCTCCGGCCTTTGCAGAATACGAGGCAGAATGCAAGGAAATATTGGTTTTCATTAATTGTAGTAGTTGTGGTAATATTTCCTCCTATTTTGGCTATGACTGTTCAGGCATCAAGTTGAGAATAAATAGATGAAGGACTTTTAGTTTTATTCTTCGCCTTTCCTAATCTGAAATGTTTATAATAAATACTTAGATAAAGATAAAAATGTATGAACTAGTTGGAGGAAGTTTTCAGAAAATATCACCATTCAAACAAGGCTTCTACGTAAAGAATGTGGAGTGTGATAGCAGACAGTATTGGTGGAGACTCTGGCTGTGCCCCTTAGTGGCTGTGTGACCTTGGGCTGATTATTTACACTCACTGAGCCTCTGTTTCCATATGTATGAAACAGATTAATCTGTTTCTCAGGAATATTGCAGGGATTCATGATAATGTTAGAGACAGGGGGCTAGTAGGTAAGAGTATGGTCTCTAGAACCAGACTACCTGGCTTTGAATCGTGGTTATGCCACTTACTAGATGGGTGACCTTGGACACATTACCTAACGTCTCTGTCCTCAGTTTCCTTATCTGTGAAGAGGGAATGATTGAAGTTCATATCTCACAGCGGTTACTAGTTAATATTTGCAAAGTACTTAGAACAGTGCCTGGCACATAGTTAATGCTATTTAAGTGTTTGTTAAATAAATTGTTGATTAAAGTTCCTGGCACCATGTAAACACTCAGTAAAAGGTAGCTATTCTTTGTATTCAGTATATAATTGATTCCATGTGAAAACAAGTCTTGAAAATTCTGATAACCATATAACCCCCCTCACCATGTTTTTTTTTTAATTACCAAGGCCTTAAAGCCTTAAAATATCAAAGGAATAAGACAAGTTTATCATTTATATTCTAAATTGTCTGTACTTGATACGATTTTTTTTTTCTAAGAGGGACCTTAAACATAGTGATGTGTAATAGCCTGATAGATCTGACCTGTGCATCACAAGTCACTTGTCTTTGGCCCAAGAGGGATGCTTCCTTCCTTTCTGAATTGACCCATGACCTCCGAGTAACCCATCATCTCTCATTATTGTTTCTAACAATCTTCCTGTTCACAAGAAGACCTTGAGACAGGGTTTCTGTACATATAATTCCAGCTTTATGCCCTGGAACCAAAAAAAGGCTAGGGGAGGCTGAGATAGGTAGTAAAATATTTATTAGAAGTCTTCTATTTGCTATCCTCCTGCCACTGGTATTATGTAAAAAGAGTTCTGCGTCAGCAAGCACAGTGAGACCTCCTCTTTATCCTTCAAGCCCACTGAGCACCAGGAACACATTAAGCCTGGGCTGTGGAAGACGGCTCACAGGGTTTTGTTGAGT